GGGAGGTGAGACTGACTGGCCTATAGTTGCCTGGGTCCTCCTTCCTCCCCTTCTTGAAAATGGAGACCACATTGGTGGGTGTCTACTACAGACCCCCTACCCAGGGTCAAGACCTTGACCAGGAGTTCACCAGGGAATTGGCTGAGGCTGCATGCTCCCGGTGTATGGTTGTCATGGGAGACTTTAACTACCTAGACATCTCATGGGAGGAGCACTCACCCAAATCCTAGCAGTTGCAAAGCTTTCTTTCATGTGTGGATGACCTCTATCAGATGCAGGAAGTTTACGGGCCAACAAGAGGTAAAGTGCTGTTTGACCTCGTACTGGTGACCGGGAATGACCTAATCAGTGAACTGACAATCGAAGGGAAGCTGGGTGACAGTGACCATGAGCTGATCAACTTCACCATCTGCCGTAAAGCTAGCAAGTCAGTCAGTAATACAGAAGTCCTTGACTTCAGGAAAGCTGACTTTGACAAGCTAAGGAGGCTTGTCAGAGAGGCCCTAAAAGGCCACAAACCAATGGAGAGGGGAGTTCAGGATGAGTGGTTACTCCTCAAGGGAGCAATCCTGGATGCGCAAGCAAAGTCCATCCCATCTCAGAGGAAAGGCAGCAAAAGGGCACAGTAGGCCCCTTGGCTCTCCAGGGAACTGGCAGACCTCCTGCGTCTTAAAAGGAAGACATACAAAAGATGGAGGACTGGAACCATCACCAAGGAGGAATACTCTGCTCTGCTCCAGACCTGCAGAGAGCCAACCAGGAAAGCCAAGGCTGCGATGGAACTCCAGCTAGCTACAAATATCAAAGACAATAAAAAGTCCTTTTTTAGATGTGTGGGGAGCTGGAGGAAAAGCAAGGGCAACACTGGACCCCTGCTAAACCAGATGGGGCAACTGACAACCAATGCCCAGGAAAAAGCAAACTTGCTAAATGGGTACTTTGTGTCAGTTTTTCACCAGTCCCATGGGATGGCCCTGCCCACTATGGGTCAGGGAGGCCCAGGTGAGGGAGATTCCTTGCCCTCCATCGAAGCTGACCTCATGAAGGAACACCTTCAGAGGCTGGATACCTTGAAGTCAGCTGGCCCTGATGGGTTACACCCAAGGGTACTCAGGGAGCTGGCGAGCATCATAGCTCAGCATCTGGCACAGATCTTTGAGAGCTCTTGGCGCTCTGGTGAAGTGCCTGATGATTGGAAGAGGGCCAATGTTATGCCTATCTTCAAGAAAGGGAGGAAAGTAGATCCGGCAAACTATAGGCCCATCAGCCTGACCTCTACCCTGGGGAAGGTCTTGGAAAAGATTATCAAAGAGGCCATCCTTAACAGACTAGCTGAAGGCAATATCCTGAGGGATACCCAGCATGGGTTTGTTGTGGGTAGGGCTTGCTTGACCAATCTCATTTCCTTTTATGACCACGTGACTTATCACCTGGACAAGGGGGAAGAGATCAACGTTGTATATCTTGACTTTAAAAAAGTCTTGGATCTGGTATCCCACGATCACCTCTTGGCTAAACTGGCTAACTGTGGCCTTAACCTCACCACGATCTGCTGGCTGGGGAATTGGCTCCGTGGTAGGACCCAGAGGGTGGTGTTGATGGGAGTCAATTGTCTTGGTGCACTGTGACCAGTGGGGTCCCTCAAGGCTCTGTCCT